GGGAGGGGAGGAGACTGGGTTAGGGTTGGACATGGTAAATGGGGAATGAAACTAAATGTACACGTAACATTGAATGTAAAATAAGCTCTTAAAAAAAACAGTTGCATAGAAAGTGGTATGACCAAGACATAAAGTCAGAATCAACTCGACAGCAACTAGTTTTGTAGTCTCTGGGTGGTGCAAGCAGTTAACACATTCAGCTACTAACTAAAGAGCTAGAGGTACTAGTCCAACCAGAGGTACATCAAAAGAAATTCTTGCCAATCTAATTCCAAAAGATCAGCTACTGAAAACCCTATAGAATATGCAAAACTAACAGCTCAATGGAGAGAGACTGAAACCATTCCCCTTGCAAAGAGGAACCAGACAAGGATGTCTTCTATCTCTACTTCTATTCAACACTGTATTAGAAGTCCTAGCAGAGCAATAAGGCAAGAAAAAGAAATCAAAGGTATCCAAATTGGTAAGGAAAAAGTCAAACTATTCCTATTTGCTGATGATATGATCCTATACATAGAAAACCCAAGAAACCCAGCAGGAAAACAACTGGGACTTATTGAAAGATGGGCATAGTGGCAGGATACAAGATCAAAATACAAGTATCAGTTGGACTCCTCTACACCAGCAAAGAAGTCTCTGAAAAGGAAATAAGGAATACCATTTAAAACAGTTCCAGAAAGATAAAATACTTGGGAATAAATCGTACCAGGAACACAGAAGACCTATACAAAGAAAACTACAAAACACTACTTCAAGAAAGTATACGAGATCTGATAAATGGAAGAATATACCATGCTCATGGATAGGAAGATTCAACACTGAGAAAATGTCAATACTACTCAAAGAAGTCTATATATTCAATGCAATCCCAATCCAGATTCCATCAACATACTTTAAAGACATGGAAAAACCAATCACTGATTTTATATGGAAAAGAAAGAGACCTGGGATAAGCAAATCACTACTGAAGAAGAACAAAGTAAGAGGTCTCACACTCCCAGATCTCAAAAGTTACTATACAGCCATAGTTGTCAACATTGCCTGGTATTGGTATAACAAGAGATGCATAGACCAGTGGAACAGAATTGAGAACCCAGAAATAGACCCACTGACCCATGATCAGTTGATTTTTGACAAAGGGCTGAAATTCATTCAATGGGAAAGAGAGAGTCTCTTTCACAAATGGTGCTGGCAAAATTGAATACCCATTTGGAGAAAAATGAAATAAGATGCACAAAAACTAATTTGAGATGCATTAAAGACTTAAAGTGAAAAATAAAACTATAAAGTTCATCAAAGGAAAAACAGGGACAAATTTAGAGGCCCTAATATATGGCATAAATATACTATTAAGCATAACCCAAGAAGCATAAACAGCAAAAAATAAACTAGATGATTAGGATCTTCCAAAAATTAAATTTTTATGTTCAAACCCACCAGCCACTCTACTGAAGGAAGCCTGGGCAATCTACCTCCACAAAGATTTACTGCCTCAGAAACCCAAGGGGGGTCATTATGAGTCAGAATCGACTCCACAGCAGTGAGTTTGGTTTTTTTAGTTTTATGTGTATCAGAAGACTTCTCCAAAAGAGTAAAAATAGAACTTACAGAATGGGAAAAAATATTCAGCAATGACATTATCAGACAAAGGACTTATCACTAAAATTTATAGAAAACTCCAACCCTTCAATATCAAAAACACAAACAACTGGTATGGAAAGAGTGTATGACACTGGGGAAAGGAAGGGCACATAAGATACAGACAACAGAAGCAAATACATGCACAATACTGCATTACAAAAAAAAAAAAAAATCCAATTAAAAAATGGGCAGAAGACATGAATAGACACTTCACCAAAGAAGATATTCAGGTGACCAAGAAACACAAGAAGAAATGTTCACAATCATTAGCCATTAGAGAGATGTATATCAAAACAAAGGTAGCATTTTGCCCCAGCACTAATAGCAAAGCTCAACAAGACAGAAAATAACAAATGCTGGTGAGGATGTGGAGAGATTGGGACTCTCACACACTGCTGGTGGGACTATCAAAAGAAGGACATATCCTAAAGAAGTGAGAGCTAGGACAAGAACAGATATATGCACACCCATGTTCATCCCAGCACTATTTACAATAGCAAAAAGATGGAAACAACCTAGGTTTGTTTTGCCCATCAACAGAAGAATGAATAACCAAACTATGGTACATACACATGATGGAATATTACGCAACACTAAAGAATAGCGTAGGATCTGCAAAACACCATACAACATGTATGAACTTGTGGACATGGTGCTGAAGGAAAAATACTGTATTAGTTCACCATAATAAAAAGTCAAGGAAAGGTGTATACCTAGAAGGAAACTTTCTTTGTTGGTTACTAGGGATAGGAAGGGAGGAGAGGGAAAATTTCTAGATAGGTTTTGGGGCAGGAATTATATATATACATATATATATTAAACCAAACTCACTGCTGTTGAGTCAATTTCAACTTACAGAAACCCCTCCTTGGGTTTCCAAGGTGGTATCTCTATTGAAGTAGATTCCCGAGTCTTCCTTCCTAGGAGCGGCTGGTTGTTTGAACCGCTAGCCTGTAGGTTAGCAGTCAAATGCCTTGGGCACTACATACACCAAAGATTGTTAGTGTTCACCAGTGGTAGGAGGGAGGAGAAAAGGGGAAGCTTTTGTTTGGGGGACACTGAGTTTATGTTAATAGGTGGTAGAATATTTTGGAGAAGGATAGCAATAATGGTGGCACAACACGAAAAATGTCATCAACTTCCGTGAGCTGTAAATGTGCAAGTTATTATGCTGGTGGATGTCTTTTGTATGTTTTCCCAACAACAAAAATTAAAAAGGAAAACTCTATGAAGCACAGTTTCACTCTGACACCCCTGGGTCACCACAAGCCAGAATTGACTCAATAACAACTGGTTTTTACGTGATAACAGTCATAGAGAGGCCTCAACATCAGGGTATGGATTTTGTTACAAAGTTAAAAATAGGAACATGTTTCTATTCTAGAGGAAAAAGTCCTCTTCATGATGAAGAGTCGGTAATTAAGAAGAGAGGAAATGATTGATTTTCTAGAACAGCACTCAGCACCTAGATGAACAAGCAAAGAATAGGACTGTAACACTGATTATGCATCAAGGTATGGGTACCTGGATGTGATAGAAAAGCAAGGAACAGGCCACCATGGGCTGGTAAAAAGAATACTCCTAATGGCTGCACATGGCTCCATATAAAATAGGGAAAGGAGAGAGGTCAAGAAAGAACTAATATACTAGAAGAACAAAGCAGAAGGGTCAAAAGATCTCAGTGAGTATGAAGAATGGAATAATTTGAGGATGACAAGATGGTTTAAGGTCAGGAAAATAGGATACTTCAGCATAAGATTTTAGAGTATCAGCATCTTTGATTAGTTTTAGAATCAAGAGAAATATAACATTTCTTTTAGAGAAACTAGGAGCTCTGGTAGCATAGTGGCTAAGACACTTGACTGCTAACCAGAAGGCTGGCGGTTCAAACCCACCAGCCACTCCTCGGAAGGAAGATGGGGCAATCTACTTCCGTAGTGATACTGCCTCGGAAACCCAAGGAGGGGTCGCTATGAGTCGGGTCTGACTTGATGGCACATAACAACAACAACAATAAAGACCTAAAATCACAAAGGAAAAGAGTAACAAAAGATATGAAATGTAAGCTCCTTAAAGGAAAGAATTTTATCTGTCTTGCTCATCATTATATCCCCATCACTTCACCATAAGGTATTTGTTAAATGAATAAATAAATATTATCCATTCTCTGGAGGTTTATAATAGAATTTTTTCCTGGAAAACTGAAATGGAAGTGAGTATTTCCAAGCCAAACCAAACTAAACTCACTGCCATCGAGTCAATTCTGACTCAGAGAGACCCTACAGGACATAGCAGAACTACCCCATAGGGTTTCATAGGCTACAATCTTTATGAAAGCAGACTACCACATCTCTTTCATGGAGAGGCTGGTGGGTTTGCACCTCCAACCTTTTTGGTTGACAGCCAAACACTCAAACACTGTGCTCCTTATTCCCAAGCAGGTAGTAAAAAGCATTAGGTAGTACCTGGTTGCGCTGTTCGGCAGCATTCAGCTCTTGCTGCAGCAAGTCCACCACTTGAGCGCGACCAGACAGGGCTTCTTCATGCTCTTCAAGCTTCCTCTGCAGCACCCTCAAATTCTGACAAGAAAACGTTTTAGATATAATGTAGTAGCAAATGAGCACGGTTGTCTGCTTATCTTTCAATATGTCGTATAGATTTATGCATTTAAGATTTCTAGATGTTGAAGATGACAGATTAAAGAGCAAGACGCCAACATGCCACGTGCCCCATCTAGCACCAACAAAGAATGTCCACAAATGCCTTTCCCAGCATACAGATGACAACCAGTCAGACACACACAGATGCATGAATTGGGAAGCTTTTTTAAGGCAGAAAATGACATATTATACTTGCAAAATTATATAGTCAGTGTTCTATATCTAAAAAACAGGTATTTGTGTATCTTATCCCCAAAAAAAACATTTTCTGCAGGCAAAAAAAAAGACCATATTTTTACACAAATAACATGTGCATTATACAATTTTTTTGCAGATCATGCACCTCCCCTCACACATTAGTTTCCTCGCTTGTCCTGTACATTATAGGCACGTACACATTATTTATGTGTGCATGTTCATGTGCAAAAAATGTGGTATTTATCTTCTCCTTCTGGTGGTGTAGTGCCTAAGGCTACCAGAAGTCTGGTGGTTCAAACCCACCAGCCACTCTTTGGAAGGGAGATTGGGCAATCCACATCCATAGAAATATCGCCTGAGAAACCCAAGGAGGGGTTGCTATGAGTCAAATTGACTCAATGGCAGTGAGTTTGGTTTTTCTTCTTCCTTTCATGTACAGTACAGGCACCTGATAAAGACCTGCTGAATAAATAAAGATTCAAAATCTACTGACTCACAGATTCAATTCTGATTCACAGCGACCCTGTAGGACAGAGAAGAACTGCTCCAGAGGTTTCCAAGGCTGTACATCTTTATGGAAGCAGACTACCACATCTTTCTCCCACAGAGGAGCGAGCGGGTACGAAATGCCAACATTTCAGTTAGCAGGTGAGTGCTTTAACCATGGCGTCACCACTAAACTCATGATATACATATGCAATTAATATTCTACTTGAGAAAGTAGTATACAGTATTTGGAAAGTTTAGCCAGGGTTGTAAGTTGAATGACTTCTTAAAATTTGCAAGACGTTTTTCTCAAAAACAACCAAAAAGTCAACCAGCAAGTACTACAGGAGTACCTTAGGATACTGCACTGTACTACACGTTAAATAAAAACAAATACCTTTGAGTTAGTAGATAATTAACTCAAAAACAATGAAGCCAGTTTTCAAAATATACTCAATAAATTTTTAGAAAGAGTTACTAATTTGATAAAAGACTTCGTGCTTTAAAATCACTTCATCTTTGATTTTTCTGAAAGTTTAAAACTGGCTTCATTAATTGAAGCTTGGCTATAATTAGCAAACTGAAGCGAAACTAATTTCTGACTATCACATACCAAAAACCAAAAAAAAAGGGAGGTCTGAAGTATAAAAGATAAGGCAAGGGTAATATGCACCAGGAAGACAAGGACACCAAAAAGAAACCAACTAAGGAGCACACTAAGACCCAGAGAAGAGCAGTGGGTAAGGATAGAACAGTGACTATATTATGATGTAGTTAAATGTTAACTATAATAAAAATCATTCTACTAAGTTTTAGCAACAAACCTGTTGCATCTGTGTTTCCACATCTGCCTGGGTTACTAACTGAAGAAGCTCATCTTCATGAAGACGAACTTGTGTTTCAAAGCGGGCATCTTTTTCTCGGACCACCTGCTGCATGGAACTCAACTGAAGACACACACCAGAAAACTATAGAAGTTACACTCCCTGAATATTGCACAAACAAAACTCACAGACTACTCTCCAAAGATAGACTCTGAGAATTGACAGTAGCTTTTTTAGAAATTTTGAATGTCATGGATGAGAACGTTGGAAGAGAGAGAGATCCAAAAGTAACTTCCAGATTCAGAGGCATAGTCTCAAATTCAAAAACCAGCCTAAATATAAAATTCAATTAAAAATGATACTTGCACGGTTACTAGAAATGCTTTAAATAAAGATATAAGAGTATAATGTGTATTTTTTAAGTTCTAAGTAGATTAGAATATTAAACATAGAAAATGAAGTTAGATTTCTGTTAATTCCTAGGCACTCCTTTTAAAATCACATGCATGCTCAGTAACTTTCAATGAAATTCTCAAACCCTTTTAGTAAAAACTCAAATGAATGTACTTCATATTCAAGATTATCTACAGCTAGAAATACAAATCAATCTTTCTAGTCTTAATAGAGTTGCTTTAACCAAAAAACTGGTGTGCTTCCAAACTCATACCACCTCCCCAGAAAACTATTTTCAGCTGTCATGACTTGCAGGCTTCTAGATCACACTCATTTGTAATTGGATCTTAACAGAAGAAAGATAAATAAATGGATTGAATATAAGCTGTTATCAGGGTTTTTATTGTTTTATTTTTATGTTTTGCATGTTTGTATGTGTGTGTGTGTATACTTGCACTTGTTTGTTTCCTTAAGATCTATGGTTGAACATGCTGATCAACCATTCTTCAACTACTGCTGATTTCTGATGCCTTGAATTGACCTTGGATCTCCGTGGTAAATCTTCAAAATGTTTTTGATTATGTAAATTCTGATCTCACTATGAATTTGGAATCCTGTGCAGGCATATGTGTCCTTCATTACTCAAACACATCTATACATCCTTTTCTGTAAGTGTACCATATTTTTTTTTCTTCTTGGAGCCTTTGCATTCTTACCATTCCCAACTAACATATCTCCTCCAGTATATCTAGAATATTATCTCTCCAACCCAGTTTTGTCTACAACTTATCTTTTCCATGTAAACTTCCTTGACTGTCACACACCCAGTAACCTCTTTTACCTCTCAAAATACTTGTAGTTTGTGTTGCTGCTTCCTTTAGCACTTATTCTGAGTTGCTTGCACTTTAACCAATCTGTTAACATGTTTAACACATCTTAGCTTTCCACTTTTTAAGCAAGTTGTAGGTAAACTTCACGTTTTGTACTTCTCCATCCTACATTTTCTATAGTACGTGTACATAAAATGGAAACATAATGCTAATAGGTAAAATTAAGAATTTCAAGATATATAATTTTAACTGTATACATAACAACAGTTCACCTATAGAAAGAACGTACCTCCGATACTGTAAGTTGTCAATATAACAAAGATCTGATGGATAAGATTAGCTATATGCAAAGGCACTCCAGGTGAAAAAAAATGTTTCATGGGTCAAAAGCAGCCCAAAAGAAAAATATGGAACTAGGAAATTAGAAAAACAGAGAGAAAGAATGCAAATACTAGTTCAGTCTGGTCCTGGTGGCAGAAGTAAACATGAAGAATGTCACATGCCATGTAATAATCAATCACACAACCTATGCCACTTTCTGATGGCACGCTCACTAAATAATCTTTTGATTAGACTTTAATTTTCCATTAAGATTTCACTGTAGAGCAAGAACCAGGGCTTCAAACTGGGGTTTGAACGAGTTCAATCATGCTGACACAGCAAAATTGGAACAGAAATGATTTGTAAAGTGTGGGTATACCAGAACGGTAAATGAAATGGGAAAAATTATGGATTGAAGCCCTGGAACGAGAGACGTAGAAGAGGTAGAGTAAGCGTTTTCAGGAGCCTGCTGCAGGAGACTGGATTACTGTTAGGACTGTGGAGAGTAACACACATTCAAAGTGGTGTGGTCGTCCATTATCTTTGAGCCAACACTCCTATTTCTGACTCAGCCAGTCAAGAGATTTGGTTGCTATGCAACATGCCCACTGCCCTTGTTTTCTAAGAGGGAGCTAAGTTTCTAACAGGGTGTCAACCCATAATTTTTCCTGTTCCCATTATTGTTCCGGTAGATCCACATTTTACAAATTCAGGTCCATTCTGATTTTGCTTCGTCGGCCATGATGGAACCAGGAAGAACTGGTTTGAAGTCCTGGCAAGAACAGACTTAATCATATATATTTCTAATTTTCATGTTTAAAGGGTATTTTGGTTTAACTGTCAGTCTCTCTTGAACTTAGTTGTTGTTGTTATGTGCCATCAAGTCGGACCTGACTCATAGCAACCCCACCTTGGGTTTCCAAGGCAGTATCACTACGGAAGTGGACTGCCCAACCTTCCTTCCGAGGAGTGGCCAGTGGATTTGAACCGCCAGCCTTCTGGTTAGCAGTCAAAGGCCTTAGGCACGACACTACCAGAGCTCCTAGAAATAGACAGCCTGGTCTACCTTGCAGGGAGGCTGGTGGTGGGTTTGAACCACCAGCCTTATGCTTGACAGGTGAATGCCTTAGCTCCAAGGCCACCCCCTAGGGCCTGAACTTAGTTAGCATGTACCTATTCCTAAAAGACTGTACTTCTGTGTGCTATTAAAATCAAGTTTCAGGGCCTGTAGAACTAAGGAACGGTCAGCAACGAGGCTACGGTAAATTCATCAAGAAATATAACACACTAGGACGTTTCTTGATAATCTGATAGTGTTCCCTAGCAACACACTTGGATACTATCATATCTCCCTTCTAATTTCTACTGGAACATTCTAGCCACTATACTTTTACTAAGGTTTTAAAAAGTGGCTGTCTGAATTGACTTGTTATATCATAAGCCATCAGACTTTCATGATTTTTTATTGTAATTGTTACAAGGTACCTTCCACTCCTACCTGTGCAGCTTGCTCTGCCTGGGTCTGGCTGAGCTGGGCTTGCAAAGAGCTAAGGAGTTCTTCCTTCTCTTTGAGTTGTTGCTTCATTCTTAAGAATTCTTCCATCTCTGTAGAATTCTTATCAAACTGAAGACAGAGAAAAATAAAATTTTTTTTTTCAGCAAAAGAATTAGATTATTATTTCTTTGATCCTCCCCCAAACATTTTCTCATTTGCCTTAAATATCTACCGTTATTCCTTCTAATTTCCACTTAACACAAAAGGGAATTACATGTACTGTGATTTTCAAAAAGCAATTACGAAAATTTATTTGTCAGTAGATGATAGAAGCAGTTTTTTAATTTCTCCAAATCCCTGAATAGAGACAACACAACTAAGTAGCAAAACCAAAAACCCATGGGAAAAGTCTACAATAGAATTAGGAAAGTAGTCCCACACACCTCAAAATGCAAGCAAGACTAAACAAACCACCAAAAGCCAAAAGATCTGCACTAGGCAAGTCTGTGTGAAAGGAAGAAGGAAGAAATAGAGCAATACACTTTACTGCAATTAGCCAGTTTTAGAACAGCAGCTTAAATGGGGAGGACAGTCCACTTCTCCAATACTGGGTAAGCACAAGGGGTAAGGAATGAAAGAGCTGGAGCAATCCAGTCCCTCTGAACTCTCAACACTGACTCATCAGGCTGCCTTCCAGGACATTACCCTGCACTAAAAAGAAACTATTAGGAATAAAATCAAAATTAAGCAGAAAAAGGACAATGAAGACAGAACAGAAGCCCTACATACATACTGTATAATTCAGTATCAACTAGTTACATGTGTCTATGGAACGCTTGATATCTACCCACTGCAACTAAGGAACTTAATTTTTAATATTATTTAAATTTAACCAATTTAAATACAAAAACTGAAGAAGTACAAATTAATTTCCCATTAAATACAATTTTATTTTTATATGATTACATTTCACTTTATCTGATGTGTCATGCAAGATACTTTTGCATTGTTTTATGAGCACCCAATATACTCGTTTCTAGTGTTAATAATAAACGTATCACCCCATGTAGTCAGTGTTGGCATAGTGCTTCAGCTTGAATGAATTTTTCTACTTACCTATTAGCATTTTAATGTGTTCATTTGAATACTTCATAATGACATAACAATCAGCTACAGTTGATATCCATGTAAATCATAATTGGCAATTAAACTAAAATATAAATGCATTATTACTTTGATTATAACATAAGTGAATTACTTTTCTAGTTCATATATATATATATATTTACAATGAAAGTATACTACTGTAGCAGAATCCAATAGAGATTTAGAAGCCAGTGCCATAGCCAGAACAGTAAGGGAAAAAAAAAAAAAACTGTGTTTTAAAAAAAAAAGTTAAAGAGCATAAAGTAGACAATCTTTTTCAGCATACATATACTAAATTTGATAACAAGTTTCCTGTCAATGGTCAAAAAAAGAATTAATAAAGTTAGTCACCTGAAATCAGAATTAAACGGCCAAAAAAAAGTAAATGACTTTTAACTCGATATGAGCATGTAACTTTTGACAAACATAAACAAATAGCTAGGGTTCTTCTGTTTTTTTATTGTTGTGAAAATATAGATAGCAACATATTTGCCAATTCAGCATTTTTAACATGTAACTCAATGACACCAATAAATCAATCATGTTGTATAACTATCACCAATGTCCTCTGCCAAGTTTTCCATTCCCATAAACAAAAACTCACTAAATACCACTACCACCACCCATTCCCTCCCTTTTCTGCCCATAGTAACCACTATATACATTAAAACTTTGATTTCTATATATTTACCTATTTTATGTATTTCCTATTAGTGACCTCATACATCTTTTCAAGGTTCAACCATGTTGCAACACTATCAGGACTTCATTTCTCTTTATAGCAGTTATGTATACAACATATTTTGTTTATCCATTCATCTGTTCATGGGTATTTAGGTTGTTTCTACTTTTTGCTACTGTGAATAGTGCTGCAATGAACACTGATGTACATGTGTCCATTCATGTGTGAGAAGCTGGGTCATCTGGTAGCTCCAGGTTCAGCTTTTTGAGGAACTTATAAAGCTATATTGCATTCCTACCACAATGGATAAGGGTTCTGATTTCTCCACATTCTCGCCAAAACTTAATTTCTGTTTTTTAAATCTTAGCCATTTTAGTGTAAATAAAGTGGTATCTCATTGTGGCTCTGATTTACATCTCTCTAATGGTGGGCCTAGGAGCTCTGGTAGCGTAGTGCCTAAAGCACTTGACTGCTAACCAGAAGGCTGGCGGTTCAAACCCACCAGCCACTCCTCGGAAGGAAGATAAGGCAATCTAATTCCGTAGTGATAATGCCTCAGAAACCCAAGGAGGGGTCACTATGAGTCAGGTCTGACTTGATGGCACATAACAACAACAACAAATATGTATATATGTATATCTTCGATAACATAACAACAAAAAGACAAATAACTCAATCATAAAATGGGCAAAGGACTTGAATTAAAATTTCAGCAAAGAGGACATTCAAATGGCCACACATGAAAAGATGCTCAATGTCATTAGCCATCAGAGACACAAATCCAAACCACAGTGCAATATCATTTCACTCCCTTTGGGATGGGTAAGATAAAAAAAAAAAAAAAAAGAAGAAGAAAATAACAAATGTTGGCAAACCAAAAAACAAACAAACAAACTCATTGCCATCGAGTCAGATTGGACTCATAGCGGCCCCTCCTTGGGCTTCCAAGGTGATATCACTACGGAAGTAGATTGCCCAACCTTCCTTCCGAGGAGTGGCTGGTAGGTTTGAACCA